GAATGGCATCCCGGTGATGTTATACAGGTAAGTGTATGATTGTATTTTGTTTTATTATTTTTTATGTCTGGATCTCAGTTGCTAAACAAGTGTGCAAATTTGTGGTCAAACTTGATCAAATGTCTAGGTAAATTCTTAAAATTCTCTGATATAATATTCTTGCCTTTTGTGCTAAATAATTGCAGTAGTAGTTACTGTTTGTTTCTCCTACTTGTAGTTATCTTTTAGAGAGAGAATCATGCACTTGAAAAAAACGTTTGTGCATAAGCATGGAGTCCTCTGTTAAAACTACAAATTGTAGCAACTGTTTGTTTCTCCTACTTGTAGTTATCTTTGAGACAATCATGCACTTGAAACAAAAAAATTGTACATAAGCATGGAGTCCTATTAAAACTACAAATTGTCTTTCTTTGGAATAAATCTGGATCTGACCATTGTTCATGTTTATTCTAACCAAGAAAGATAATTGAGATTAACTGGAGAAATTTCTATTTTCTATTTAATGGAAACGGGTTGGAAACATCGATTCCCACACATTTACCTAAAAGAAGAATTGTTAAGGAGAATTTCTTTCATTCTTCTAAAAATTACCTTTTTTGTGTGTGTGCAGTGGAGACGTGGACAGTAGTGTTCCAGTGACAGGTACAAGAAAGGCGATAAAAAAACTTAACCTGGATATTCAAACTCACTGGTACCCATGGTTCAACGAGCACGAGGTAAATGTCAACCAGATTCTTTTTATGATTTCGTTGCATAAGAGCGATAGAAAGAAAGGATTAGGAATGGACACAAGGCTTAGGAGGTTAGGATGGGGAGGTGCTAGAACATGACCTCTTGGGCTCCATTCCATCCCTTTAATAAGGGGAGAGAAAGAGAGATGTTTTTCCTCCTATTTATGTTCTTGTATATATGCAGTTTGGAGGGTATAGTGTGATATACAAGGGTGGCTTAACATTTGCAATTGTTAGAGGAGCGGGCCATGAGGTCCCTAGTTACCAACCGGCGAGATCCCTCACCCTTATTGATGCTTTCTCAAAGGGAAACCCCTACCTTCATCTTAAACAGTACATGATGTAACAGAAGCTTCGAAGTTACATTATTTTGAAAAGTAATGCAAATATTGTTTTCATTTCTCTAATGGTTCAATTTGTTGAGTGTTTTGTTTTGGGCACTCCAAATTAGGTTAAACATTTTATTTTTGAGAGTCCCAAGCAATGACAGTGTTTTATGAGTCTATATATAATGGACCGCTTAGTACTGCACAAGTGCAAAAACTAATAGCCTTCAGTTTGTCATTTCACTTCACAAAATCTGACGAACAGGTTTTGGATTTTGAATTGGACTTGATGTACCATTGGCTGGCTGATTTCACATCTAAAATCAAAGAGGAAAGGACAGGTCCAGAGAGAGCTTGATAGCCTAATATGCAGTATTAACTATGACGAGGATGACATACATAATTCTTCTCGTGCACACTCTAAGCCGGTGTCCACTGTGTCTGCTGGTTCTTTTGGGATCACCAAGCACAAGAAAGGGTATGTTTCTGAATGAAAATTTTATGTTGGAATGTTCGGGGTCTCAACAGTCCTTTGCGCAAAAATGATATTCGATCTTTTTGTCGTCACAAAAAGCCATATGTTTGGGTTATTCAAGAGACAAAAATATGGGCCTCGAATTTTCAAACAACTTTAGAACTATTTGGGGGAGGAGGTCCTTGGATTTTATAGGCTCTAAGGCTATTGGACTTTCTGGAGGCATCTGAATTTTATGGGACCTTTCTTTTCTGCAGGCTATTGATTTTATCATCTCTTTTAAACATATATCCCTTTTGTTTAAGGGTCCTTTGGATGATTTCATATGGTGTTTGATTGTTGTTTATGGCCCTAATAGATCAGATGAAATACCTTTATTTTTTTAGGACCTATCTAATGTCTTCCTTAAATTTAATGTGTCATGGTGTATTGTAAGTGATTTCAACATTATTCGATAGCCCTCTGAATGCTCCTCTAATCCACATTTGTCTTCTTGTATGTAATAGTTTTATCCAAAGTCTTGAACTTGTGGATATTCCTTTGATAGGGGCAAAATTCATTTGGTCAAATCACAATTCTAATGAGCCTATTTTAACCAGATTGGACAGATTTCTGGTTACCCAAGATTTTGAGCATTGCTTCCCCAAAATAAGCGTCAAAGCTTACCTAAAGTATCTTCTGACCACTTCCTCTGTTGCTTAACACATATGGCTTTCCACATTGGCCTTTGCCTTTCAGATTTGAAATCTCACTTGACTGACATGTCTCTAATTGAATTAGTCTCACTCAACCATAGCTCCTTCAAAGAACCACTTGCATTGCCTCCCTTAGGGATCTCCTAAGACTGGAAGAGATACATAAGAGACAGAGATCGAGAGTTCGATGGCTAAAAGAGGGATACATAAACGCTAAATTCTTTCATGCTATTGCAAATGTAAGGAGAATAGGTAATTCTATCCAAAATCTTAAAATCTAAGGGGTTGATTGTGAGAACTCTTTAGAAGTGGAAGCAGCGTTAACTCATCACTTTAAGCAGTCCTCTACCTCAGAAAAAATATTGAATTTGTCCATTGATAATGTACCTTTTGTTAGACTCCCTCTTGAAAAGGCTTTTTAATTGGAAAGAATATTTGAATTGGAGGAGATAAAGGAGGTTGTCTTTGGCTTAGGCAGAGATAAAGCCCCTGGACAAGATGGGTTCTCGTTAGCCTTTTTTCAAACCTTTTGGGATCTCATAAAATATAATCTTGTAAGTTTAATAGATGAATTCTATTAGAGAGGAATGATTAATATTATCATGAACTCTACTTTCATTGTATTAATTCTTAAAAGATCAGTTATTCAAGAGGTGAAACATATATGTCCAATTAGCTTGCTGGGCAATTTGTATAAAATTATAACCAAGGTTTTGGCTAATAGGCTTCGTCGGGTCTTACACTTGATTATTCAAGGGCCACAATCTGCTTTTTTGAAAGAGGGACAGATAATGGACATTGTTTTTGTGGCTCAAGAATGTATTCACTCAAGAATCAATGATAGAAAGCAGGGTATAATTTGTAAGTTGGATTTTGAAAAAGCATATAATAAGGTGGATTGGGAAGTGTTACAGAGCATGATGGGTAGTATGGGCTTTAGGTCTCGTTGGAGGTTGTGGATTGAAGGGTGCCTAAGTTCCACTCATTTTTTGTTGTTGATAAATAGAAAGGCTACTGGTTTCTTTAAAGCCTCTAGAGGGCTTAGACAAGGGGACCATTTATCACCATTCCTATACATTTTAGTGGGTGAACTTTTCAGTGTCATGTTCAAGGGAGTTACTTCCAAGGGATATATTTCTGGTGTGAAAATTGGAAATAGAGGTCTTATGGTGTCCCATTTGCAATATGCATATGATACCATTATATTTTGCGCTCCATGTGAAAGGGAAGTTACTAGTTTTTTGTTTTTTTTTAAATATGCAGAATTGTCATCAGGCTTGAAAGTCAATCTAAGGAAGACTAAGCAGATTGGGATAGAATGTCAAAGCAATCTAATGGGCAGGCTGGCAAAGCTTTTGGGTTGTGGTACAGAAAAGTATCCTTCTAAGTATTTGGGCATTCCTTTAATGGATGTTAAACCTTCAATAGCAATATGGGACCCAATAATAGAAAGATTTCAAAAAAAGTTGGACCTTTGGAAGGCCAAGACCCTTTCTTTAGGATGAAGATATACCTTAATCTAGTCTACGCTATCCAATCTTCCAATATGGTACATGTCTTTATTCCGAACGCCTATGCAAATTGTCAAACGTCTTGAGAGGCTAATGGAAACTTTCTATGGGGAAATGTGGATAAAAAAAAGAAACTACATTTGGTGAAATGGGAAATAATTTGTAATTCGGTTAGAAAAAGAGGTTCAGGTATAAGAAGATTGAATGTCATGAACTCTAGTTTATTGATTAAATGGTGGTGAAGAATGCACTCTCAGCGAATAGCCTTTTGGGTGGAGGTTTTAAGAGAAAATATGGAGAGGATATCCTTATTGTTTTCATTGGGGGTCCAAGAAATAAGTCTAATTTTTTCTTTTTATAGAAAGTCATTAATTAATGTAGCGAGACTTATTTGAATCATATCAAGAAGGCGGTTGGTGATGGAAATCAAACCCTCTTCTGGTTTGATAGATGGTTGGGTGATGATCCTTTGAGACTCCAATACTCGAAGGTTTTTACCAAAGTTTTGAACCCCTTAGCTACTATTAAAGTGGTAAGTGGGGGTATTTCTACTCACTTTATTTGGTCTTTTCCTTATAGGTACAAGAGGGTCTCAGACATTTTCATTGAGGCTTATTAAATTTGGTGAATAGGCTGTAAAATGTATACATTTCACCCAATAAAGAAGAGTCCATTGTTTTGGGAATGCACTATGTCTGGGGATTTCACTGTCAAATCTACCTATAGTTTGTTGTTTGGATATCACCAGTGTACATCAGATCCCTGGATGCGAATGACTACTAAGATCAATGTCCCCATGAAAATTCAATTGTTCTTCTAAATCCTTTGTCAGGAACGTCTTGCAAGAAGAAGGGGCATCAATATCATGAATGTGTGTATCTTGTGCAAAGCTGACAATGAAAGTGACTCTCATCTTTTCTTGGAGTGCCCCTTTGCATTGAATATGTGAGCTGGGCCCGTCAATTGTTCAACCTTCAAGTGCCCATTACAAGAAATACTAGACCTCTTTTTCAGCAGTGGATAACATTGGGGATTTCTAAGATTGGTTCTATCCTTTGGAGGTCAGTTTGGGTGAGCGTGCTTTGGGGAATATGAAAGGAGCAAAATATAAGAGTCTTCCAAGGAGTGGTATTGGAAGAAACTATCATTAAATCAAACATCTTAGCATTGGCTGCATAGTGGTTTTCTACTAATAAGGATTGTACAGGTATTCCCAAAGGCTTTATAATATTGAATCCTTATGAAATAGCTAATCTTCAAAGCAATAGGGCAACCCAGAGCACCGTATAGATTCATCCTCCTTCAAATACCTATAAGCTCAACTTTGACGGAAGTTCCTTTGAAAATCCAAGGACGACAGGTTTTGGAGGGCTTATCAGAGATCATCTTGGACGAATCTTATTGTCTTACTCTGGTCCTTGTGGTAATACAACAGTTAATGAAGCAAAAGCTAGAGGTTTATTGGAGGGAATTAAATTGTTCTCAAAATTGGATGGTGGAAAGGTTTTTGAACGGGATTCAACAAATATTATAGCATGGTATAAAAGAGAAGCGAGAGTTCCTTGAAGACTCTCTTCTATTTTCATAAAATTGGTGACATTCTTCAGTCTATTGAGTTTGGAATGCACCACTACTACCATGAAGCAAATGCTAAAGTGGATTCTTTAACCAAGGGAGGTGCTTTTCAATCCTCATTGATGATTACCAATTTCTTGTGATGTTCTTTTATGTAGCTTGATCCCCTTGTAACTCTATTTGTTTTTAGTTAATAATAGTCTCGTGTTAATATTTAAAAAAAAAATTTCACATCTAAAATCATACAGCATGGATTTGATTTTAAGCTTGGGACAAGC